GGAAAAGACGCCTAGAGAGCATTTGGAGGACTAGTCAATCCGATTCCGACCGGACACAGGTGAGGTCTTATATCAAGACCTACCTAGTGGCGATAAAAGCGGCAAAATCTAACCATTTTTCCGCTCTTATCGCATCTGCAGAGAACCGCCCAGCCACCCTGTTTAGGGTGACCCACTCCCTTCTTCGGGGGGGAGTGCGGGAAGATCCCTTGCAGGGTCGTGCTGAGGATTTTGTGCAATTCCTACATGATAAAGTCGCTCGGATTCAGGATGGCTTGGACTCCGATTGGATGAGTCCACGGGAGGAGACCGGGGCAGGTCTTGAGAATGTTATCTGGGAGGAGTTTGATCCTGTGACTCCTGAGGATGTGGACAGGGTTCTGGGTAAGATTAGTGCCGCCACGTGTTTATTGGACCCATGTCCCTCCTGGTTGGTACTGGCCTCCCGGGAAGTTACACGAGGCTGGCTCCAGGGAATTATAGGTGCTTCTCTGAGTGAGGGTGCCTTTCCTGCCACCTTGAAAGAGGCGGTAGTGAGGCCCCTCCTCAAGAAGCCTTCCCTGGACCCAGCTGAATTAGCCAACTATCGTCCAGTCTCCAACCTTCGTTTTGTGGCGAAGGTTGTTGAGAGCGTGGTGGCACGACAACTTCCCCGGCACCTGGATGAAGCTATCTATCTAGACCCGTACCAGTCGGGCTTCAGTCAGGGGTACAGCACAGAAACGGCATTGGTCGCGTTGGTGGATGATCTCTGGAGGGCTCGGGACAGGGGTTGCTCCTCTGTCCTAGTCCTATTAGATCTCTCAGTGGCTTTTGATACCATCGACCATGGTATCGTGCTGCAGCGGTTGAGGGGGTTAGGAATAGGGGGCACCGTTTTGCGGTGGTTCTCCTCCTTCCTCTCCGACCGCTCGCAGTTCGTGTTGGCAGGGGGACAGAGGTCGACCTCAAGGCGTCTCGCATGGGGAGTGCCGCAAGGGTCGGTCCTCTCGCCCCACCTGTTCAACATTTATGTGAAGCCGCTGGGTGAGATCATCCGTAGTTTTGGGGTGAAGTGCCATCTGTACGCTGATGATACTCAGCTGTACATCTCCACCCCAGACCACCCCAACGATGCCCTTGATGTGATGTATCGCTGCCTGGAGGCCGTGTGGGTCTGGATGGGGAGGAACAGGCTCAGACTCAACCCCACCAAGACTGAGTGGCTGTGGCTTCCGGCGCCCCGATATAGTCAGCAGGTGTCATCGCTGACTATTTGGGGTGAATCTTTGCCCCACACGGAGAGGGCTCGCAATCTGGGTGTCCTCCTGGACACGCGGCTGTCTTTAGAAGAGCATATGACGGCCGTGGCCAGGGGGGCCTTTTATCAGGTTCGCCTGATTCGCCAGTTGCAGCCCTTTCTGGATCGGGACGCCTTGCGCACGGTCACTCATGCCCTTGTTACTTCCCGGTTGGACTATTGTAATGCTCTCTACATGGGGCTCCCCTTGAAGAGCACTCGGAGGCTCCAACTGGTCCAGAATGCGGCCGCGTGGGTGGTTATGGGCGCAACTCGTTGTGCCCATGTGACACCCCTCCTGCGTGAGCTGCACTGGCTCCCAGTGGTCTTCCGGGTGCGATTCAAGGTGTTGGTTACCACCTTTAAAGCGCTCCATGGCATAGGACCTGGGTACCTCCGAGACCGTCTTCTGCCACCAATAGCCTCCCACCGACCAGTCCGTTCCCACAGAGAGGGTCTCCTCAGGGTGCCATCAGCCAAGTTATGTCGGCTGGCGACGCCCAGGGGGAGGGCATTCTCTGTGGGAGCCCCAGCCCTGTGGAACGAACTGCCCCCGGAAATTCGTAAGATCTCCGACCTCCGGGTGTTTCGCTGCGCATTGAAGACCCTGTTGTTCCGCCAGGCCGGACTATCAACACAATAGTTTTAAATTGAGGTATTTAAATTTATTGGGGTTTTAAATATGAGCCACTTTATTTAATTATTTTAAATTTTATATTGTTGTTTTGTCTGTGTTTTTAAATAGGCTGTACACCGCCCTGAGTCCTTCGGGAGAAGGGCGGTATAGAAATAAAATTATTATTATTATTATTATTATTATTATTATTATTATTATTATTATCTTTCTAGCTTCCCCTGTTGAGGACAGGCGGTAATTGCATTTGGATAACTGGGGTAATAGTTCTTCCTGTAAGTCCTCCTTATGAACCACAATTAGGACCTTTGCTAAGCAAAGCAACTGTTCAATGAGTCATATTAGATTTTATGGCCTTTTTTGACACAGTTGTTAAACAAATCATTGCAGTTGTGAAGAATATCACACGGGTATTAAGCAAATCCAATTTTCCCCACTGATCCCACTGAGTTCACTTCAGTTCCCCCACTGCTTCCCCCAGAGAAAGGAAGGAAGGAAGGAAGGAAGGAAGGAAGGAAGGAAGGAAGGAAGGAAGGGGAAGGGGAAGGGGAAGGGGAAGGGGAAGGGGAAGGGGAAAAGAAGGGAAATTCAGAGTGTGACCTACTGACTGAGAGCAGATGGGCAATTGGGTTTTCTTATGGCAGGGGTCCTCAAACTTGGCAGCTTTAAGACTTTGGACTTCAACTCCTAGAATTCTCCAGCCAGCATAGCATAGTCCACAAGTCTTAAAGCTGCCAAGTTTGAAGACCTCTGGATTATGGTGAAGCTTAAGTAACAAGGATCCTTTAGTAGATGGGGCAATTGCAGGAATTTGTCCTGTGTTTGCACACAAAGTGACTTAGTTCTGAATAATCTAAAAATTATTCTCTCCAACTATCTAATTTTCCCTTCTGCCTTTTTTGTAATTCAGCTAGGAAAGCTTTCACACTGCCACAAGGGCAAGAAGTGTTTCTGTTATTTCACCCTGGAATAGAGGAATCCATCCATTTTCATTTCTCTTGGCTGCTTAATTTTGTGAGAATGTCAAGTTTGGTTTGTCAAATGAGAGAAAAGCTCCTTTTAAAATCTCGTTCCAAATTTATATTTTAGCAATAGCAATAGCACTTTGAGTTATACACTGCCGCATAGTACTTTACAGCACTTTCTGGGTGAGTTACAAGGTTGGAGCATTATTTGCATCTTGTCCCCAACAATCTGGGTCCTCATTTTACTGACCTCGGAAGGATGGAAGGCTGAGTCAACCTCAAGTCCCATCAGGATCAAACTCCAGAGCGTGGGCAGAGTTAGCCTGCAATACTACATTCTAACCAATGCATCACCATGGCTCCACCAGGATTTAGTACAAAAATGTGCCTTTTGAGCACAATTCCACACCAGAACAACAAGACACAAGGACATTTTTTTCCCGAATGCCATCACTCTGCTAAACAAATAATTCCCTCAACACTGTCAAACTATTTACCAAGTCTGCACTACTATTCATCTTCTCATCATTCCTGTCACCCATCTCTTCCCACTTATGACTGTATGACTGTAACCTTGTTGCTGGTATCCTTACGATTTATATTGACTGCTTCCTAATATGATTTGATTGCTTATTTGTTCCCTATGACTATCGTTAAGTGTTGTACCTTATGATTCTTGATGAATGTATCTTTTCTTTTATGTACACTGAGAGCGTATGCACCAAGACAAATTCCTTGTGTGTCCAATCACACTTTGCCAATAAAGAATTCTATTCTATTCTATTTTGTTTAGTAAGAGGCGTAGTTCAATACAAATTAATATACGTCCTTATTGATAAACTGCATTGCTAAACAGAGCCGTGATTGTCAAATGATAACATTTCCATTTCTCTATTGATTTAAAATTGGGAACTTAGATAAGTTTATTTCAAATTGTTCCTTCCATTATCATAGAACAAAAATCGATATACTTTGCTTTTTGATAGCACCTTCCTTAGTAATTGTGCTGCTACTTCTTAGTGGAATCAAAAGCAAACTCCAAGCTGATAAGTGCAGTGGGCCACCCCTTGAACAGCCTGTGACTAATAGCTGGTAAAGGGGACCATTAAAATTAGCAAGTTGAAAAAACTGGTTTGAAATTTAAAGACCATTTGTTACAATATTTTTAAAAAGCTGATTTACTGCTCTGTGGTGAATAGCTGAGATTTTATACCTGATTCAGGATTTGGAGCTGGGGCTATAAAATGGAAGGCCTCCATTCCATGCATGGCATGTTTTATGTGTAAATTTTTTAACATTTATGGGGTACGTTTTATGAAGGCCGAGACTTCTCCCAAGGGAGAGCTTATGAGGCAGATTTTTCATTCTCCGGGCTTGTTAAGCAGAGAAGCCAGCTGAGAATAATCAAGGATGCTCTTACAGAAGAATTCTCATGGCTGGGTTCCAAAATGTTCCAAAAATGAAAAGCTAAGTTTTCCCAAGGGAATATTTGGGAACTGTGCCTCTCTTAGTGCCACCAGCAGCATCCATTACCAGACATAGAACAGTATTCTTGACTTACAATTGTTCGCTTAGTGACCATTCAAAGTTACAATGGCACTGAAAAAAGTGACCTGAGAATTTTTCGCACTTATGACCATGGCAGCATCCCCATGGTCATGTGATTTACATTTGGATGCTTGACAACTGATTCACATTTATGACAGTTACAATGTCCCAGGGTCATTGGGAAACCAGATTCACTTAACAACTGTGTTATTAATTTAACAACTGCACTGATCCTGGCCCCAATTGTGGTTACAAGTTGAGGACTACTTGTATTATAAATTATATCTTTAATTTACTACTACTTATTATTAAATAAAGGGATTTACATATTGTGTGTGTGTGTTTGCCTGTATACAAATGCACCTGTACTTCTTAGGTCTTTTGATCAGAAATATAAGACAAATATTTTTTTTCAGACATAAAATAAAAATGGGAAAATGAGAAACTGCATGCATTTTGTAAATGTTGAATTTATACATTATTAATTAAGGATCCTAGCAGAATTGATTATCATCGTTTGAAGGCATTATCTAATGAGTAAAGTGCCCTTGCTCTTCTTTTGGATTGTCTGCAGATGGTGAAAGCTATTCAGGTCCTGCGAATTCATCTCTTGGAGTTGGAGAAAGTGAATGAATTGTGCAAAGACTTTTGTAATCGTTACATCACCTGCCTCAAAACTAAGATGCACAGCGACAACCTTCTCAGGAATGACCTTGGGGGACCTTACTCCCCGAATCAGTCCTCCATTAACCTACACACGCAGGTAATTGCTGAAAAATACACTTCACGTGCCCCCTTGTAAACAGCTACAGATATTCTTGAGGCAGAATCATATTTCTCACAATGTACTCTTAATCTGAAAATACCTCCTGTTTTGAATTCTGGAAAAAATAACCAGCAGCCGTACATTGGCAAAATGTGACCAAACATAGAGAGCCCTGATCTTCAGGAATATATTCATTATTCTTGTATTTCACAGTATGCACCAAGTCTTAATCTTTTTCTCCCCTAGCACTTTATCCTGCTCAGTTGCAGCCTCTGTTTTGTTTATATTGTGCTTGATTAGCTGATGCAGCAAAGCTATCAATGCACAATGCAACAAAGGGATTGTTTTTCCACCTGCTGATTGTAGAAATTAACTCTGGGAGATGAGAAAGAGTGACTGGCCCCAGATCACCCAGCTGGCTTCCATGTCTAAGGAAAGACTAGATCTAGATCTTACAATCCTAGTCCAGTACCTTAACCACTACATCATGCTGGCTCTCTGTCAAAGTTTATCAAAACCTATACAGAATACAGAATAAGAGAGTTGGAAGGTCTTCTAGTCCAAGGGTCTCCAACCTTGACCACTTTAAGACTTGTGGACTTCAACTCCCAGAATTGAGGAGGAACTCTGGGAGTTGAAGTCCACAAGTCTTAAAATGACCAAGGTTGGAGACTCCTGTTCTAGTCCAATCCCTTGCTGAAGCAGGAAACCCTATCCTCCTCCAAAAATCCTTATAAAAGGTTTGTACAAAGCCCATTGATTAGGATAGAGCATGCATGTGACATGTTAAATCTTAGGGAACAGGCTGGACAAGAGCTCTCTCTGAAAACTCCAAAGAACAGTGATCAGTCATAAACCAGGCCTTCTCTACATGGTAGCATTTGGATGTGCTGGGACTGGCAGTGAATTTTGTGGGTTACGAGCTCAGAAAGAAAGTATAGTTGGAACAAAGGACTCAATAGCCTGCCATGAGTGTAGATATTTCTGTTACATTAGTTGTGGAAAGAAGAGCTGAAGCCCTGTTGCGTCTTCACAATAAATTCTGCCAAGTTCTCAAGATCATTACTGGGTTGGAAAACATCATCCAATCATCTTCCAGGAGAACTTTCCATATAAATAGATAATAGCCTGAGAGATCTCAAGATGCTAGATCTTCACAGTACCTAGGGATGATTTTAAATATGTCCCATAAGAGTTACGAACTTAGCTCTTGAACAGCCTTGTTGCACAAAGTATTCCTCTATTAGACTACAGTATTCTAAATGATTATTTGGCATGTCATTTTAATCCCATGAAGTTCCAGGCATTATTTCTAAGGCTATAAATTCACAATTTGATTTTTTTTTCAAAATTGATGATTAGAAATGATAGTTCTTAATAGGATAACTGCTGAGCACAATGGCTCAGCAGTTAAAAATACTGAGCTTGTCAACTGGAAATCTGGCAGTCCAGGCTTGAGACCCGAGTGCAACGCAACAGATGAGCTCCTATTCCTGCCACAGCTCCTGCCCACCTAGTAGTTCGAAAGCATGCAAATGCAAGTAGATAAATAGGTACTACTTTGGTGGAAAGATAACAGCATTCCATGTGCCTTTGGTCACATGGCCACAGAAAATGTCTTTGGACAATGCTGGTTCCCTTGGCCAAGAAATGGAGATGAGCACCATGCCCTAGAGTTGGAAATGACTGGACAGGGAAATATTTACCTTAACTCTGTGTGTTTCTTTATTCTCTTTCAGAAGAAACATTCCATATACCCAGCATTGGTTTCATTACACTAAAAATCATTTCAAAAAAGACTTACCAGCAATATAAAAGTTTGAAAACTCAGGAAACTCTTTTGTAGTTGTCATCTAGTCAAATAGTCAGCTCTGTTCTCAAGGCTAATCCACTGTTTTTGGTTGTCTCCATTTGTCACCTTCTTCACAGCTTCACAAAAATAGCTTTCTGTATCTGATTCCTAATTACTTTGACGATAGTCTAATAAATCATGCCCGAGAATGTTGTCTTGTTCATAAATTTGTTACTTACAAACATGGCTAATATGGCATGTAATCTGAGAAATAGCTCTTTTTTCAAAACCTAGCATGCAAGATTGAAATTGTTTAATTTGAAATATCTGATAAAAATTGCACTTACCTCTCCCTGTTTGTATTCTAAAGAGACAATCTATTCGATATTAAGTACTATCATTGTCTAAAGAAATTTTCTTTATCTAAAGAAAAAGATCACCTGGGCTCTTTTCTCTATGAATTTAACCTCTCCCATACAAGAGTATGCAAAAGATTATCATTATTTGAGTGAAAATAGGTCAACCTCAGAATGAGTATAATGCGATTTGCAGCTGGACATATTAAAGCTATTGTATATATTTGAGAAAAATCATTGCAATACTATTGCAAGTGGTTTAGTAGTATCCTTTTTACTTCACACAGAAGTAAGTTCTACCAAGTTCAATGGGACTTACTTCCAGGTAAGTAGATAAAAATATGAAATTTATATTAGCAGACATAATATTTCTTTAAACTGCAGACTTTTTGTGTTAGCACATGGAAATCTCTGTTTGAAAGCCAGAAAAATATTTCCAATGCAGTTTATGATCCAAGTTGCATTATTTCCTTCAAAATGTGTTTTGGGGTTGGGGTCAAAATTGTTCTCACTTTCTGATTGGTTGTGGAGATGGCAGGACCTAGCTGACACTTTACCTTCAGATAAGGAAGGACTACAATTCTTAAAATCTCAATCAGACATGGCTTTGTTTATATGTATTTTGCCAGACATAAATCAGAAGACAAATGTCTGGTTATGTCCTGTATAGATAGTATGCTTTTTATGATAATTTAGAACATTTCAGAATTTGCAAAAAACACATAAAACCCACTTCCAAAATATATAGATTTTCAACAACAACTGGCATACATGCTCATATTCTATGCTCATTTGATACTAACTTTTTTGAAGCTTTCAGATTTGGATTTCTGGAGAAGACATGAATATATACCTACAAGGACCTATTTAAAATTAGAAAAGAAACTACATACTGTCGAGGGGGCGGAGTATTATATAGGATCAAGAGCTGCAACATTTCCAAATCTGTTAGTTACTTTTAATTTCTTTCTCAACACTTGACATGTTCCTGCATCATCAAATGTATAATGCTTGGCAAAAGCATAACTTTCAAAAGAAAATCTGATTGAACATGCTGAGTAGTTCCTCAACTATCCTTTACAAAATGAAAAAGACTGTAAAAGAAGCATAAAAATGTACCCTCACAGAAAACAAATATACCTTTCTTTAAATTTCTATTCCCTAAAAGAAGAAAGAAAGAGAGAAATGCTGTGGAAAGAATAATATCCTTTTTAGGCATGAGTAATCTACTGTCAAAAAAACTAAAAAGATGTTCTGTCCCCGTCTCCACACACACACAAACACAGCCAGTCGAGGGTTAAGAAAGCACTTGGCACGCACACCGGTTGTTATCTCAAACTTGGCAGCTATACGAGCATCGACTGCCAAGGGCTTTACTTCATCAGATAAACAGAAAAATACATACAAATTGCAAATAGTCCAGTTCAAAACAAGGAACCTTCGGCAGATTTAGGCGTTGTTCAAGTGACTAGCCAGAGTTAGTTTTTGTTCGTCACAGAGTCTTAAAGGGCTACCACACTCTTTTATATAGTCTCTGGGGTGTGGTCCAGTGACTCAGTTATAATCCCTGGCACGCCTGCTTAACTGCTGCAACCGTTTATCACACCTTCGTTGGCGTGGATCCAGGAACGACAGATCACCTCCCTCGCTCTCATCGGAGACACCTGGCTCCTGGCTAATCTCCTCTTCCTCGGCCGGCACTTGAGGCAGTGCCAGAGGGGAGGGTCCTGGAGAGGGAGGCCTGGCCGACTCCTCTTCTTCATGTTCGGAGCCTTCTTCCTCCAATGAGATAGGCTCGGAGGGCGGGGCCACAACAAAAGAGATTTACAAAAATGTCAATGAGTTACTAGAAGATGAGTTTCTCCACTCAGAAAGTATCCAATGGAATTATCTGTTTGAGTGAAAAGCAAGCTAACAAATGATGCAAGTCTGAGTTCCAACCAGAGATACAAAAGAAACAAAACTTCAACAGTTCTATGGGATTTTTGAACCCTTGTTGATACAATACCCCAACAATGTCAAAATAAATATAGGAGACTGGGAGGGGGTGTGATGGTTCAGTGGTTAAAGAGGCTGAACTTGTCAGCTGGAAAGCTGACAGTCTGAGTTCAAGACCTAAGCTCTGTGTGACGGGGTGAGCTCTCATTACTTGTTCTAGCTTCTGCCCATGGAGCAGTTCAAAAGGATGCAAATGCGAGCAGATAAATAGATACCACTTCAGTGGGAAGGTTACAATATTATGTGCACCTTTGGTGTACAGTCATGCTGGCCACATGACCATGGAAGTGTCTTTGGATAACACTGGCTCTGTTGGCTAAGAAACAGAGATGAGCATTGCCTCCTAAAGTCGGACAGAACTGAGCAGGGGAAACCTTTGCCTTTATAGGAGACTGGAATGTTAAAGCTGAAAATACAGTAGCATGCAATATAATGGGGAAATATGGACTCGATATACAGAATGATGGAAAAGATGATCAAGAAAATACTAAGTTAATAATAAATACCTTATTTCAGCAATCTAAAAGACATTGCTACATGGACAGTCATCAAAATTAAATTGATTGTATATTCTTCAAGTAAAGGTGGAGACATTCTATTCTGTCAGCACAGCCAAAAATGAGTGCTGATTCCAACTCAGATCACAAGCTCCTTCTTGCAAAATTACAGTGAAACTAAAGAAAACAAATAAAATCATCAAACCAACAACGAATGTCTTCAGTAATGTATCATAGGATTATGCAGTGATGCTACAGCATATAGATTTAATGGATTAGAATGGATAAATAGAATGCCTGAACAATTCTGGGCTAAAATTTATGACATTATTAAAGACAACACAAATAAAACTA